TTGTCACAAACAATATCCAAACCAAAATGCAAAGCTTCGGGTGTTTGCCATGGCAGCTTTGAAAATTGTTATGTGGTGCACCCATCACCATCCTAGCACACATCGTATGCTCTATACAGTACCTGTTTTGAGTGTTGGGTCAGAAAGCGTAGCTTTGCCTGGAGACCCAGTGGGATAGATTCTCTGCTCTGTACAGAAATCAGTAGGGATTGTCGAAGGCCCTGGCTGTGGATGAGAGTCTATTGTGATTGGGTGCTGACCTCAAAGCAGAGAATCAGCATATATATGAGAGTGCATTTTATTCCTCTCTCTTTTTTTTTCCTTCCCCTCTGAATTGACATGGGGTGAGGTGAAGCTGAAGAAACCCTCGAAAAAGCCAGGTCACTGATGGCAAGGAAAGCGGCTTGACAGATGGAGAGCTTTCAGAAGCAGCGGGGGCTGCAGCAGCGGGCTCCAGAGAATAGCATCTCCCCGTGCTCTGGCTGTGTGTCTGTCTGCGATTATATTGTGTAGTTTCATCTCTGCTGTCTGTCTCTCTCTTAATCTCGGCTCTTCTGCACCATCAAAATGCTTAGCTCGCTTTGTTGTCTGAGAGGCTAATTTGCACTGAAAATCCGATGCTTATCTTACATGACAGCTTACAATGGGGGTTATTGCAGTCCTGAAGACGAGCTAACCAAAGAAGGCAAAGGAGCTTTAGATGGGTTGACTGGGGTGAGAAATGGACTCTGAGCCTGACGTATCCTCATCTCCAGTCCCTTGTGTTTGGTGACGGTGGGTCCTTTAACACCTTTTAGGAACCAGAAATAGTCCAAGCTGAGTTGTTGTTTCATGGTGCTGGTTCTGCTCAGTCAGGGGGAAACAACAGGGAAGTGATTTAGAGCTTGGATACGCTGGTGAAGTGGCCTTCATTTTATAAAGGGTCAGGTTTCCTCCTTTGTTTCTTGCTATTGAGCACCGTCAGAGAGTCAGAGCCCAAATGCAGGCAGCAGCTTTAGCTTTAGTGCTCCCCAGTTCTGGGATTCCTAGAGCAGCGTTTCTCAACCCATGGGTCACAAGAATATATGAAAGGGTCACACAAAATTTAAAAAATGGAAAAATGCAGGAAACCACGGCTTTTCTGTTGCAGGCTGGCAGAATTCCAGCCTGCCAGGGGCTGCTTTAACAATCCCCCCCACACCGCCCATCCCAAATCCCCTCAGACCCCACACACAGGGGACTGGCGGGGGGAGAGCAGGTCAAGACTGGCCACTGGTTTACAGATGGGCCCTGGTACACAAAAGGTTGTGAACCGCTGTCCTAAAGCACACTGCAGCATTGTTGATTCAGTGCCTAACACAATTAGAAGGCTCCCTTGTCCTTGACTTAATTTCTTAATGCTTCTTGACACTTTCTCCAACACAATCTAACTCTGCAGGCAGAGCAGCATCTCTCCCCCATCTCATCTGCATTTGCCTTCTTCCCTCTGGGTCTCTGGGTGCTCCACCTACAGGCATCAGTATCTCATTTAATGTATTTGACTCAAGTGTTGATTGGAACTGTGGCCAGGGTCCCAAAGCTTCCCACAACAGGGCTCCATCACCAAACCATGAGCATGCAGACACCTAGCGAGTGCTTAGAGCCCTGTGAGTTTGCACTGTGACTCTGTACCAGGACAAAGAGTTGGTGGGTTCCTCTCCTTGTTTAAGCAAGGTATTGCACTTTGGGGGGAGAATACAGTGCTAGGAGGAAATGACTGTAGTGACTCTGTCCTGCCAGGGAGAATAAGACTTTTGAATCTAAAAAATAGGACCAAACCAAGCTTCCACTCCTCCCTCCAAGTGGTCCTGATTGGCAGTATGGTTGGTTTACTGGGCTTCCTGTTTAGTCGATCTCTGTTCTTGCAGTCTTGGTAAGAAGCCAAGCACCAACATTCCCATAAGCAGAGACTGTTCTTCACAGAGGAGAAAGCAAGTTAAAACTACACAGGATATTCAGAGTCCCAGAGCTTATTCAGTGCTTCTTCATAGAAACTCATTGTGGTTGAATGGCATTGACATTCTACCCTGACATCCTACCCTGTAGGGTAGAGCAGAGCTATCCAGCTTCTAAGCATCCAGGAGTCGCACACTGCATGGGCCCACAGGCTTCCTGGGCTGCACGCTGTGTGGGTGCCCTCCCCCTGTGTTGCACCAGGCCATGCAGGTGCCCCCACCACTGTACTGCACCACTGTGGATTCCCCCGGCTGGGTGGGAGCCCAAGGGAGCACAAATTAACTCCAGGCAAACTACATGCAGGCCATGAGTTGGGCAGCCCTTGGGGGTAGGAAATCTTCTGTAGGGCAGGAAGAATTTGAATCACCTGGCCCATACCAGAAATTCAGCAGGAACCCTGATCACACTTAGTATTGCAGACCAAGTTAGTCAGCTCAGCATGGAAACATCCAGAGCTTATACAGACCTGTCATCTGATAACCCCCAGCAAACACCCTGTCTCAAGATTTAGCCGCAGGTTGCTGATGATCCTCCTAAGCAGCCTGCATGATACCAAAGAGAGCTCCTTGGACACGATCTGAACCAAGGAGGCCCCAGCTTACTCAACGTACCTGACCAGGGTGGAGACTACAAATATACTCCTTTTGCTGTTTGCATGCAAAAGAGCTGGAGCTGTGTTCCTCCTCCCAGAGTGACAGTGAGGCAGCCTGTTAGTCATCCATCTGATGGGATGCAGCTATGCTTATCAAACACAGCACATTTCAGACCTGCACAGTGAGGTATAAATCCTCCCCTCCTCTGTGTGTATACTGGGAAAGCCAGTTCTTCCAGGGGTAAAATATGTCATTTGCTGGTGCTGGGCACTGTTGGCATGTTGCTTCTTAAAACATGTATCCCAGCAGCACTTAAGATCACTGTTGTGCTGCACAGAAAAGACAGTTTTGGCTCCAGAGAGCTCGCAGTCTACACCTATGGCATCAAGGATCAGGCGGATAAAGGAAACAGTGGTGGAGGTGTTGGGAAGGAGAGCAAAGCAGCAGTAATAGGTTTTGCATAGTAGATATGGCTTTGACATCTCCCATCAGCCATGGTATACAACCTCACACGGCCTTGCTGTGCTGTTAGCTATTCAATATGCATTCTGAAGCTCCCAAGTCGTTTGCTTGCTAGTAGAGGAGATCCACTGACTGAATCAATATTGGCTGTAATCTGCGTGAAAAATGAAAATGGGTGGAGATATCTAAAGGGAGTTTTCCAGATGGATTCTTCTGTTGACTGGAATATTATTAGCATTCAAAGCACAGCTCACTGGTTTGGCTAAGTGAGTAAACAAACCGGGGGCTCCCTTTAAGAGGAGCAGTGGTCATTAGAGCTGAGAGGAGGGCATATGTGAGCACAAGTTGCAGCATGAAACCTGTGAATCCCTAGGACCCAAGGGAAGAAACTGTAGCCATCTTGCAGCCTGTGTTTAAATTACAGTAAGCTGTTCTCCACTCACTGGGATAATTGCCTGTAACATCCAAGTGTCAGTGGCCCATTCACCCAGTGCACTCCAGGGATGTGGCTGGGAACAAGATGTTGCGTCTCAGTGGGAATTCCATTACTGAGTTGCTTTGAGAGGGTTTTTGGTTAAATATATTCCAGGCTCAGTTCCTTTGCATGTTCCAGGGAACATAGATGTGCTAAGGGATCTCACTGAACTCCTGGGAGTATCTGCCTTCACAGCGATTACAGAATCTTTGCAATGCTCTTTGCCAGTTGACCTACTAGTTCTGACAGGACTACTGGCCTGGGATCTGTGCAGGCATGTCATTATGCCATGTTGCTTGCAGACTTTCAACAACCTACTGTTCATCTCCATGGTTTCCTCACTTCCCAGATCATGGGAAGCATGTCCCCATTAAAAACTCAGCTACTGAATTAAAATGAGTTCATGGGTCAGCATTGAGTTAGAAAGGACTGCTGTCTCAATACTCCGGTATTCCCAATAGAAGTTTCCTCTCCTGCCCACCATGATTCCTTTGCTGTTTTTATGAGATTGGTTGTAGCATTGCTCCTGTATTGAACTAGCAGCACATCAGAAACCACAGTACCTAAAATATCTCACCCTGCTACAAAGAACAGTTGATTCTTTGCAGCAGATGCAAGGTGAGGGGACAGTGTGCAAGACAACATCAGACGTGAAAAATTAGGACACCACAAGTAGCAGGTGGTGACCGGCCATCTCCCCAGCAAATGGTGAACGAGGCTATGCATTCAGGACAAGTCTCTGCCAGAAATGGGAAGTGTGATTGCAGCATGGGTGGGCATACCCATGCCAGCTTTCACCCAGCTAGGATACATAATAATAGCAGTGACGGTATAGTGACATTCCCTTCAGCACCAGCTAGCAACCTGAGCATCACTCTGGGGTCCCCACCTGAAGGGCATGCCATTATATATTTACCATAGTGTTTTTCTGTACTAGCTTAAGTCAAGCCACTGAGGGTATGCTTGTTTATGCCACAGGCACACTGCCAATTCCAGGGTATACCTACTCTAACTTCTGAATGTCCATAGGCCCACTAGAATTTCACTCTTTTCAGCTCTTGTAGTTTTGGTATCCCATGCTAGCAGTCTCTAATATGTGACATAGTAGTAAACAGCGTGCCTTGCCAGTGTTAAATAATGTGGAAGAAGGAGGGGGCTTACATATCTAGGTAAGGGGGAATACCTTCAGTCAGGGCACAAATATTTCATGGTGTATAACGGAGCTTGATTGATCCCTTCTGTAGCACATGGGCAGTTACCCAACACACACAAAACTTCCTCAAATGTACGGGGCTGTGGGCTAGGTACAGTCTCTTTACTGGTTGCTCCAGAGACCTAAGGAGAACATCCCCAGGGCATTCTAATGAGATGAAAGCCTTGGGAGAGCAGAAGCTTAGTGGGGTGCACCTGTCTCTTCCCACTATGCTGGATGGCAAAGAGTTAATGCTTCTAATTTCTTCCCTATTGTCTCTCTCTCTCCTTCCTTCTCCCTGCAGACTCCAGCAAGGACCATCCTCAGCAACAGGCTGGAGTGATCTGGAGAGTGACAGGAGGCCTGTTCAGCATTACCCGGGGAGCTGTGGGTGCCACATTAGGAGGAGTTGCCTGGGTTGGCAGCAAGAGCCTGGAACTCACCAAAACAGCTGTGAGCAGTGTCCCTGCTGCTGGTGTTGGACTGGTAAAGGGCAGCGTCTCAGTAGTGACCGGTGGCATGGGAGCCGTGGGCAGTGCAGTTGCCAGCAAAGTCCCTTTCACTACAAAGAAGAAAGACAAGGCTGACTAGCCGTGATTGCAGCTTCCTTCTGAAAAATCAACTTGTCCATATGCTCCCCCCTACACAGCACGTCTTCAGATTGGAAATGGCCACCTCAGGGAGGGGATAAGTACCAGTGCAGACTCCAGCTGCAGCCTGCTCAGCACCACCTGCCTGGCTCAAAGTTCACAGAGACACTGCAAATGCCTTTCACTCCCATCACCTACTGGGGACCATCTCTATTCCGAGGGCTTTAAAGACGCAGTTGTCTCTACCTTGAAATTTCCTTCTCCCCTTCTTGCTCTCCTGGGTACTAAAAGGGTTGGAGTGGGCACTGGGCTCCATCTCACTGGAGACAGTGGGTGGGTGGGAAAAACTGTGTCCTAGCATTGAGAGCGCACATGCTCCTGATGGTCCTTTCATTTTATTTTAGTTG